GGGGGGGGGGGTATGGCCACGCTGCAATCCCTTCTCCTCCATTCTCCTCTCAGGATCTTAGGCACGCACACATATACGACCGGCGTGTTTAAGCCACTGGGTCCAGGACTTGAACCGTGGTCGACTACTTGAGATTCCAGCGACATAGCCATTATACTATCTGCTGGTCCCACTTCCTTGACCTTTTTAGAGCGCTCTTTTGCCCACACAGATGCATGACTGTAATATTTAAATAGTTTTTTTAGTATATAGTGTAAATTGGTTTTCACTTTACAACTTGTAAAGATCTGTAAGATGTCCCAACTTTCAGAATGATTTCAAACATTTAAAAATTGACCAGTGTACTTTTCAGTCTTGCTGAAAACGTAACAAAGTAGCCTAAAATACCTGCACATTTTCTTCCATTGGATTCCAGGCAAATTGGGTTGAACCCTTAAGAGTAACAAATGCTTAAATGACGCATTAAGTTCTGAAGTCAGAGGGAAATGGGAATTGCTAACCAAAGTACTGTTAGAGATTGTTCAGAGGATACTTCATAACATATTCATCTCTCTTTTTCTCTTTTTTTGGGGAGAGGATTTTGCTTATAGGGTACATGTGCTCACCACAAAGAGAGAAACAGACGGAAAGCGAGAAATCACGGAGGGGAAGTGGATATGGCCACTCCACAATCCCTTCTCCATTCTCCTCTTGGGATCTTGGGCACACACGCACATGCACCCGTGTGACTTTAAGCCACCAGGTCCAGGACTGAGACTGTGGTGGACTACAGTCCAGTGACGTAGCCATTACACCAAAATCTTTATTCCTACACTGCTGCTTACAGAGAAGTCTAGTTTTTCTCCTTGAAAATTTTAAAATGAAAAGAATAATACAAAAATTGTCAAAAAGGTTCCTTGCTCCTAAGGGGCATTTTATGTAAACTAATTGCTTGTATTCATTCTGGCTAAGTCTCTTTCATATTTTGTCTGTAAAAGTGGGTGGGAGATCAGATATTCTTCCAAGAAAGGAGTAAGCATTTATGGACCCAGCAGATGGCATAGTGGTTAAAGTGTTGGACTCCTACATGGTCAACAGTGGTTTGAGTCCTGGACCTGGTGGCTTGCTTTCTCACTTTCCCCCTTTCTCTCTGTCCCTCTCCAGAGAATTATAAATAAATAAGTAAATATTTAGATTTAAAAAGAGCAGGCATTTAAAATGATGTTTAATAGGAAGAATTACTAAGGCAACCCTTTTGGGTACTCCATATTGATCAAAATACAACTATGTATGAGCTGACTGGTAGTTCTTATGTATTCATCCCTTTTCATATACTTCCATATTTAGAAAAGCTCAACCATTTAACTACTAGAAAGTAATGACAGTTCTGTAGCAGCCTCTCCTCCCTGTGGGCTCTTCGTCTTGGATCGCCCAATAGCTCTACATACACATTTATCAGTCTGTCTCCTTGACGCTGTAATTGTGTAAGCCCCCTCAGCTTGGGTGCAGGGGTTGGGTTGTGGATCTTTTCTTTCTTTCTTTCTTTCTTTCTTTCTTTCTTTCTTTCTTTCTTTCTTTCCTTCCTTCCTTCCTTTTTAAAGAATTATTTATTTAATTTTTAAATTTATTCATCCATTTATTATTTTTTAATTCAACCAAAGAGAAAGGGAGAGAGAGAGAGTGAGAAAGCAAGCCACCAGGCCCAGGACTTGAATCGTGGTCAGCCATATGGGAATGTCCAGCGCCTTAACCACCACACCACCTGCTGGTCCCGCGGATCTTTTATTTCTAGCACCAACCAAAGTTCCTTGCAAATAGTAAGCCCTCAATGAATGATACTGAACTGAACGTCTGAAAATTCATTTCCAAGTTTCTTCACATTAATTTATTAAATACTTAGTCTCTGAGTGTGAGGGTGGGCAGAGATTTAATTTCAATAAGAATGAGCAATGCAGAAAAATGTATATAACAATGCAGAAAAGCTAGAGACCTCTGATCTTCCTACAAAGTAGGGCCCTAACGGAAATTGTGCGAGGTGACCCGGACACCCGGGTTCCACCCACCCCCTGCCCTAAGACCCGTCCCCGCCCCTCATCGACAGGCTCAGTTCCGGCTACCTTAGTCTGGGCGCGAGAGCGGGAGCGTGGGCGCCTGGGAGCGACCTCGCTCAGCGGCGGTAGATTAGTCTGGCCTCGGAAAGATGGCGTCCTCGGAGCAGGCAGAGCAGCCGAGCCAGGGAAGGCTGTCTGGGAAGCAGCCAGAGCACCCGAGCCAGGTAAGGGGAGTGGGACTGCCCCGCCGTGGCGGCTGAGACCCGGGCTGGAGGGGGCGCTCACCCTACGGCTGGGAGCCAGGTGAGGACCGCGAGTCCCCAAAGCCGAAGGCCCAGATCCCTTGCTCCCTCCAGGGCCCCGCCCCTCTCCAGGTCCTCCCCGCCTGGCCCCTCCCCCGGTGACCCTTCTTTGACCACATTCCCGAGCCCCGGCTCGGGGGCTCGGCTGCCTCTGTGGGCCCACTTCCCGCTTGCTGGTGCCCCCTGGGCCCGTTAGTGCTTGGCGGGGAGGGCAGCGGACCCTTGGGAAGACCTTCCACTTTGAGTTGTGAGGGCCCCTGCTTGAGTGAGAGGCTCCATCGTCCCCTGCTGTCCTCTCTGGGGAGGGGCCTGACTCCATCTGGGTTCCCACTCCCCCAGAGCCTCAGCCCCCTGGAGTGGCCTCGCTGCCAGCTCCGACGTCTTCGTCCCCCTTGCGCTTCCCTCTCCAAGTTGGAGGGTCGTTAGTATACTTGGACCCTTGCTTTTCTTAGGAAGGGGACGTACCGTAAACAACAGACGCCACCAGTCTTTTGGCAGAGGATCCATCCGTGCTTCCCTGGTTTTAGTTTTCGTGGCCTAGGGCTCCGCTCTAGCTTTTCATCTGCAGATTCAGTCAAATCCCGCTCCAGTAAGAGACCACGAGGGCCAGTGTGTACATCTGTTTTCGCAAAGCAGAGGATGATAAGGCCTCAGAAGGGGTTTATAGTTGGGTGGGGTGGGAAGAAAGGGCTAAGGGCGTCCTTAGGTTTACTGCTTGTGTGCTCTCCTGCTGAGGACAAATTGCGGTTAATTTCTGGTTTAGTATTCACCCACGAGCTCTATGAAGACAGACTGTTAATCCCCGTTTTGCGGAATTGGGCACTAAAGGTTTTGTGCTCCAAATCATGCACCTGATTGAGCTTGGATTTGAATCAGGTGTGGTGACTCTACTAGACAACCATGTATGTTTAAATTTAATTAGGATTAAACTGAGGAAGAAGAAAATGTTGTCAACTTGAGACCAAATCACTCATGTCTCATCTTTTAAGAGTTTTCAGCAGCTTCCTAGTTATTCCACTTCCTTCCCAGGCAGAAAATCACCGCTTAGTGTTTCTCACTGTCTTATTCTTCATGATTAATCTCTTACAGGAATTGCCCTTAAAGGAGTTGGTGTGTTCCGAGCTTCTGCTAGCTGTGTGACTGATTTAGGAAGATGCCTGGATTGTAAAACATGGGAAGTAGCTAGGACTGATTCTAGCCTAATCACTGAAGTTCTGGAGCTTGGGGAGTGTCTTGAGACACCCTCTTTTCTTGCGTTACCCCACTTAGTTATTGAAATGTTGAGGCTCCTCTGGATTTGGGTTTCTCTGAATCGTTATGTGTTAGCAGTACCCACAGGTTGGGATCCAAAGGTGTCTTCAGTTCTCTATTTTCCTGGGACATTTAATTTGCTGGTGCTGTGAAGGATTCCAAATTCCTGCCACTTGGCACCATTGCTGTGCCCAAGGATTCTTTGGTTCCGGAAGTTGCCCTCTCGGTCCAAGTGGAAAAGGGTCTAAGGTCCTTTAAAGGGGCTTGGCCAGCACTTGTTTGGTTTCCAACCCTGCCTCTCGTTTGCCCTCCTTTCCCAAGCTAGTGGAGATGAGATTGTGTAAGAATATGCTGGCAGCCTGAGGAAACACTCGAACTCTTCACGCCAGGTTCTGTCACTGTCCAGCAGCAAACTGTGATTGCACACTTTTTAAGTGAACCTGTTCTCTTGAGCAGTTGGTTGTCATTTTATTTTCAGATCCTGATCAAGCTGATTTCCAGTTTCTCCAGTCAAAACAGAATGGGACTGAAAGGCCTTGAATTCTGCCCAGCCTGGTTTGTGTGTGCACAGGGCTATCCCTGTGGGGCTGAGCCAGTATTCTAACTAACCTTGTTAGCTGGCCTTGTGGCAGCAATCTGGTTTCAGCAGATTAGGGTGAATACTGCTCTCTTTCCTTGAGAGACAGCATATAGCAATGGTTACAAGTGTGGGCTGGACCTGTTAGTACCTTTGCATGGGGTGGTTCTAAGCATTATATGAATTCATTTGTGTAAAAGTGTTGAATAGTGCCCGATACAATGAGTTGTCTATTCTCAGTCATCCCATTTAATAAACTCTAGAATTTCACTCACAGATGGATCTAAACCTTTCCTTAAACCCTAGTAACAACATCTTTTGAGGTATGGTTTTTGATACATTGACTGCTAGCATGGTAGCTCTTTTATTTGTTCTGGAGTAATTTCCTTGCGATTTAAAGGAATGTCCTGAGTGCTGGTATTTACCCTGGCTGTCCTTTGTGACGTCTAGATTTCAGGGACATATAGTACTTACTTTTTCGTAACGATTAAGTGTAGTTTTGTAGTCTGCCTTCAAGACGGTTTGTTGGAATTTCATTTGTTGCTTCATATCCTGGTTCTGCTTTCCCCATTCTGCTCTGCTTTCCATGGCTTATCTGTTATCGAAGTCCCTTCTAGCCTGTACATGCTGTGGCCCATAGGGAGGGGAAATGTTATTCCTGTTTCTCTAGTTTCCCACGAGTTTTTGTCTTCAGTGTAGAGCAAAGGCATGGTTCAGTCTGATTGCTTAGCAGTTACTTCATATTGAGGGTTGTTACAGAACATAGATTTCCAGTCTGTTGAGATTCACTGAATATAGGAATTTTGGACTGAAAAGATAGGGAAACAGGGAGGGGAGCAGAGCCTGTATCCTGACCGATTTTAGAACTGTCAGTATTAGAACTCCAGCACTAAGCAGTAGTTACCCTTGTCATTCCACCTTTCTGAACGTCCGTTTCCTCCCGTTTAAATGGGAGTAAAGGGCCAGCAGGTGGTGTGGAGGTTATGGTGCTGGATTCCCACTTGGCCAACTGCAGCTTGAGTCCTGGATCTGGTGGCTGGAAGGTCATGCCAGGTGTGTGTGCATACGTGCCCAAAATCCCAAAAGGAGAGTGGAGGAGAAGGGACTGTGGCATGGCCATCTTGCCTGGAAGGGGTAGTGATCTCTCATTTTCCCTCTCTTTGTCTTTCTCTGTCTCACTCCTACAAGCACATGCACCCTGTAGCAAAAAAACTGAAAAAAAAAAAAAAAACAAAAACAACCAAAAAAAGTGGGAGTGATAATGATTACCCTAGAGGCTTGCTATAAGGGTTGACTGAAATCACACATGCAAGAGCCCCTGATGCACAGTAAGTGCTTAGTGTTTTCTTCTCCACCCCTTTGCATGCAGATTGGAAGGCTGTGGAATGCTTGAGTAACAGTAGTTCAAACAAGGTATTTTCTTCTTCAGTTTTTCCTTTTGCAAAACCACCAACCTACAAAAAGAATAAAATGGAGAACTCCTGTAAAACTCACGTAAATACTTCACCAAGAAACACTGTTTATATTTTACTCACATTCATCTCAGTATATATCTATATATATATTTATTTATTTATTTTAGATTTTTGCCTTAGGGCACATGCATTCATTGAGGAGAGACAGAAACAGTGAGAGTAAAAGAGAGAACTCATCCCCAGGGGGGATGGCCAGTCCACAATCTCTTTATCTCTGTTTTCCTCTCAAGATTTTGGACACATAGACATATGCACCTGGTGTGATTTTTAAGCCACTGGGTCTGGGACTTGAACCATGGTCAGCCATGTAGAAGTCCAGTGCCTTAACCACCACACTACCTGCTGGCTCCACTGATGAATTCTAGTAATGTGTTGTGGTCAGTTTAATGTTTTTTTAAACACTTTAATTAATTAATTAATCAATTAAAATTTGACCAGAGAGGGACAGCATGGGGGGCGGGGGTGCAGTAAGCATGTCACCAGTTCCAGGACTCAAACTATGGTTGGCCATGTGGGATTCCAGTGCCTTTAACCACCATGCCACCTGCCAGCCACAAATTTAATGAATTTTGACAAAGTTTAATGAGTTTTGACAAATTACATGTGCTTGTGTAACCACCACCACAGTCAAGATCAAAACATTTCCAGTATCCATAAATGTCCCCTAATACCCCATTCCCAGTGAATCCTTGCTCTTGACCCCAAGAAATCTGAACTACTGGGGTTGGCAGGTAGTATGGTGGTTAATGTACTAGACTCCCACATGGCCAACTGAGGTTTATATTGTGGACCTGGTGGCTTGCTTTCTATACTTTACTTTTCCTCTTTTTCTCTGGTCAAATTTAAAAAATTAATTAAATTAAATAATATAATTCTTTTTTTTTTTTTTGAGAGGTTTTTGCTATAGGGCATGTGCGCTCGCCAGACAGACAGAGACAGACAGAGAGATAGAAAGCGAGAAATCACCCCCTGGGGGGATGGCCACGCTGCAATCCCTTCTCCTCCATTCTCCTCTCCGGATCTTGGGCACGCACGCACACGTGCCCGGCGTGAGTTTTAAGCCACTGGGTCCGGGACGCGAACCACGGTCGACTATGTGGGAGTCCAGTGACATAGCCATTACACTAACTGCTGGTCCCTAAATAATAGAATTCTTAAAAAAAGAAATCTAAACTACTATCTCTCACTATAGATTATCTTTCCTAGATATTAGTTAATTCATCATGTATTTTTTTCCTTAAAGATTTTTGCCAGAGAGCACGTGAGCTCACCAGAGAGAGACAGATAGAGACAGTGAGAAGGAAAGTAAGAAATCACCCCCGAGGGAGGATAGCCATACTGCAGTCCCTTCTCCATTCTTCTCCTGGGATTTTCAGTACACACATGTGCCTGGCATGATTTTCAAGTTGCCAGGTCTCGGACTTGAACCATGGTCAGCCATGTGGGAGTCCAGCACCTTAACCATCACCTGCTGGCCCCCATAATGTATGTATTCTTAGATGTTTCACTTCTTTGGTTCAGGAAAATGTTTTTAAAATTTATCCACATGTGTATCATTATGGATATTACCGAGCAGTAGG